TTGCTATTGTTCCCATTGTTGGATAAAAAGATTTTCATGTTAACATATGCAAACAATTTTAGAGATTGTACATGGGTGCGTGCACGTCTTTGTGTGTGTGTGTGTGTGTGTGTTCGCATCTAGCACTTACACAACATAAAAAAGAATATAAAAAGAACTACAAAAATTGGAACAAAACGAACAAAGTAAAGAGAAGAGAAAAACCTGTACGCCAGGCAACAATAAATCATTGTGAGTATGTAAATTACAAAAACAAAACGAACAAAAACAAAAACAAAAACAAAGAAAAACAAAAAACACAAAAATAAAAATCATTTGTAAATTAAAGAGTTGTAGCAAAGAAATAGTTACAATAGCCATTAAAATCACTTAAAAACGAGTAAAAAATAAATAAATAATCATAATAATAACAACAATAGAAATGTAAGCAGTGAAAAAGCCGACTATTAAAATGAGTTAAGAGGCTTTTTTCCTTTTTTTTTTTTCTTTTTTTTTTTAAAAGGGTCGAAAGTCATGGGAGTGCATTGACATTTGTTGCCTGACGATTGCATTCAAAATTCAAGTTAAATTCAATTCACTCTCCCCCGCCAAACATTTCAACTATTTCGATATTAAATTGGCCGACATCTTTCATCGCGCATGTTTTCCTCTTCATTAGTCTTCATTTGCTTTACATTCTATTCTACATATATACGAACGCTCTTCATTGTAAGTCACTCATGTAATCGATAATACGTCCTTTCGATATAACATGTTGCCGAAATTTCTACATGATGGGCAAAACTTTCCTAACTTCATAATATTCCAATCATTAGCTTCTAAGTTTTAGTTGTGTTAGTAAAGTTACATGTATAAATCATATATCTATATACGACTATGCTTGAAGTAAGCGAAGTTATGGTATGAAGTTATGAGCGATGAAATTCTGCCCCTTGAATGCCCTCGGGGCGTAAGACCCCATTCTGGTGCTATAGAATGGGAAGTTGAGCATTCTTAGACTGTCGAATATCGACAAACTAAAAATGGGGAGATCTTATAGGCTGCCCAGGAAATCTTCATGGACGATTCTTTTCGCAAGATGCCGGACCATTGTGTTGCAAAGCTAGTACTGTCCCGCTGGTTCCGAGTGACCGCATCGACCAAATCGCGCTGGGGCCGGCAAGCTTTTGAGACCGGGGTGAAAACAAGGAAACCGTACCCCGACGGTTCAAAATGGGAAGATGGTAAAACCGGGGCTCGAGTTTTGTAAAAGCCATATCAATGGGATATATTCCAAGCAGAAATTTATGCAATCGCCCTATTTTTAAGAAGGCAGCGAAGCAGAGAGCTGGTCTGCATTTCCTCCGACAGTCAAGCCGCCTTAAAGACTCTAAAAGGGCGAATGATAACATTTAGGCATGTGTCGGAGCGCCACCAAACACTGCATAACCTAGGCAGAAACAATAATGTGCACTTACTACGGGCGCTCGGCCATTTTCATGTTGAGGACAACGAAAGAGCTGACTATTCGAACAGTTGTTGCCAACAGTGGAGCTCGAGCGTCTATGATAGGCCCTGAACCATTCTGTGGCGCACCAAGAAATCATATTAATAGGCTGTATAGCAATGGGCACAGAAAAATCGGATTGCCATTGGAAGCAATGTGCAGGACAACGCGGGCAAAAAGATTCGTAAAATCTTCTGGCACGGCACATATACTACTGGAACTAAGAAGAAGCGACCTACGTTTAATCACGGACTTCTACTACAGTAAAAATATGCGTATGTGCGATACCGATTCATACAGATTCTGCCAAGGGACGAGGAAGACGTCCCATCATATTCTATCTAAATGTGAGGCCATCTGCAGAATCAGACATCATTTGTTTGGCGGGCATTTCGTAACGCCGGATTCGATTGGGTGCTCCAAACCAAAGAAGATGGCAGGATTCATATGAACCCTAAAACTCGAGGTATGAGGGCTAGTACAATATATCTTCGCGGTACGGATTGCCCACGCAATTATTGATAACAATAATAATACGTGAAGTCAAAGATGGCGAAATAGATATACCCAGCCACACATACACATACATGTATACACTTTAAATATACGTGAATCCTGTTTTACCCTGTAAAGAAAAAATGGTAATCATAAGCTCTGTAAGTGTAACAGTACTATGGCATAACATAAATATGCAAACTTTGTGTAAAAAAAGATTATTGAAATAGACAGACACCATTAACAAATAAATCTTGAATTCCTCGACTTTTGCTTATTGCTAGCAAGTATAAGGAAAATATTAATGGATTTTTTAAGTTGATCTGACGAAAGTATAAAACAAAAAACAAAAGAAAATTTGTGTTGGCAGTAAGCCTAAATAGTCACCATTTTATAGTATTAGTAGTAAAGATTACTATGCTGCTGGCGTCACAGTTGGCCGATGAGAACGGTTTTTGCAGCTTTTAGATAAAAGTGGTTAATATTGATAGCTTGGTAAATTGCTTAAAAAATGTGTACGCTGGCTAGATATATAAGGACATGAATTAAATCATAAATACGTGAGCAGTAGCTGCAGCGGAAAAAGTGTGAATTAAACAATGCCTTTTCGAAATAGTTGCATGTGCGTTCTTACGTAGGAGCATCAAATCGAAACGATGTTCTATCGAATTTCAACGAGTACTGTGCTGAATGGGGTAATTGAATAGATAATCTGCTAAGTGTTGATAAGATTTAGGTCTATTAAGAAACTTCCAAATGGCAGTTTTCTGCTCTGCTGTGGCCGGAGACTGAGCATACCTTTTGCATGAGCAATTTAATGTATATATGCATATGTTAGGGCGTCTGATGTAGGTGTGACATACGGGGTGACAAATGTAGCAGATCTCAATTCTACGGTGGCAAAGTTCCAAACAAATGATGGAGATTCGAAGCACGATAATAATGGTCTGACACAATTTTACGCTGCTTACGAGTAAATGTAGTTAACAGAATTTTTGCGGCATATTTCTAAGCGCCACAAATATTTGACAAAACTTTGCTTTTTATTCACTTTTTATTATCGTTACTGGCATTCGTTTATATATATTTTCAATTAGATAACTGTTCTTAGTATGCATTTGAGACAAATTCTTTGAAAGCATAGTGAATAAAGTATGAAATGATAAACGTCTGCTTTTTTCTCTCTAATTATCGGCAAGACCAGCAATTTACAGCAAGCGAGAGGAGAACGAACGTTATTGTCAATATGGCGGCGTTTCTCACTTTTCATTACTTGCGTTGTTTGTTAACTATAGTACTTATGAAATGGCCGCAAGGCCACCTCTTTGCATTACAAATTTTACTGGCCTGTAACGTAGAGTTCAGAACACGATGGTGCAGCCAAATAGCTATTTACGAACACACCCATAGACAAACGTATATACATGCATACATGCACACAAGAACACAATTAAATGCATATCTATCTTTGCATACATACATTGGGTATGCTTTGATAATAGGTCGCAGCAAGTAAGAATGTTTGTGTTGTCGGTTGCTGGCCCTAGTGATGTGATGATCCGACACCATTTGCGTCGAGTTGCTCTTTCAACGAAAATGAATTAATGCATTTCTATGAAAACTTTGGCGTTTGTAAGTCTTTAATTAAAAATCGCTTAACATTCAAGTGCTATTGTGGTTAATTGATCCCCTTCTCCTCCTCTTCTCCTCTCTCTTCATCTATTTCTTTTTTTTTTTTTTTTTTCTTTTTTTGTTAGGTAATGACTGTGAACAGTTGCATTGCGTCGGTTTTCAACGACTACAACGTAAAATATTTTTTAAACGTTAAATAATTTAAAAAAAATTAAAACCATTTTATTGTCTAAGTGGTAAAAAAAAAAAAAAAAAAAACCTAAAACTAAAAGCGTTTTAAGTGATTCATTAGAGAAAGCAAGAGATGTTTGTAAATATTTACATTAAAGGCTTTTTAGTCATTTAAGGCTTATACAAATGTTGCATCATTTTCTTCACATACCTTAAAAATGCCTATTAGAAACTTTACCTACTATTATTGTTATTATTATAAATAGAAATAGATTCAAAGGCTAAAGTGCGCTAGCATCCTAGGCTATCGGCTTTATTGAAAAGAGTTGAACCCACAACCATTGCGTGATTAGTCGAGATATTTAGCCTACTCGGCCGGTCACGCGGACACTTTATCTATTAAAGTTCTATTCTATTAATATATTCGTTTGTTTATCTAGCCCTAATAAGACAAGAAAAGTTTATGTGCTATACATTAAATCAAGGAAAAAGCACGTGACGCATTTTCAGCAAAATACAAACATACACATATTCTTTAATATCAATCGCTAGCCTTTCATTATTTATACGTTATCGCCAGTATGCCTTCACTGCTCAATTGCTAGAAGTTTCGAGAGATAAAGTGCACCAAGCGATTTTCACGGTCGTGTTGTGAAAAGTCAGTTTTATACCATGAAAAGGGGAGAAAGGGAGAACTTATTGTAAACTTTTTAGATAAAAAATTTTTTTTTTTTTTTTTTTTTTTTACTAAGCCTCTATAAAAAATTTGAAAAAAATTCCTCATCTGAAATAATTTCCCCTAAGCACGCCCAGAAGACTACTTGTGACAAATGAATGCCCGCTGAGAAATTGACTGCTGGCAAAATAGCTTAATGGTGCGCTTATCGATTGTTAATTTGTGCAATTCGACAACACACATCTTCAAAAAGTTGTTATATGCCCTGAAGAGGGTTTGCAAATAAACAACTGCTAATATAGTTTCGATAGACGATCATTGCATGGATATGAAGCTGCCAGCGATTCAAGTGATTTCAATGCTTCAAGTAAGTAAGCACCTGCAAGTATATCAACAAAAGCTGGAATATCAGTATGAAATCCGCCATAGAGTTGTAAATTTTCTTGCTATTTTCTCAATTATTCCGCAATTACCAAATTGTAAAATGTATGATTCCAATAGATGCTGCATTGATGCATTTTCTAGGAAAGAGAATGAGGAGGAATATATAAATACGTAAACCGATTTTACGTTGTTAGCCTAGGCAGACTAATAGCAAAAGTTGAAAGAAATTTATTTTACAAAAAAAGTTCATTTTTAATAAAATTCAAAACTTTCAATACGACATTTGAAACCGGCACGCAGTGCCACGCCAACAAATTTAATTCTTTCCGATTTTTTATACTCATCACTGAAAGATGAGGAGTATGTACGCTGATTTTATCGAAACGTTTGCAACAACCAGAAGTAAATTTAAGAGTCCTCACAAAGTATTAGGAGCTTGCGTGTATTGAAAATGATAAAACAACGCTAAGTTATCAGTGTACACAACGATTAAACCCGATGATTTTGACCTTTTTTTTTACACAAAACAACAAATTTTCCATTTAGCAAAACATTGCATTTTCAACATTCATTACTCTTGTTGTTTGATTTGAAGGAACATGCTGCCGAAACCCATCAAATACTTTTGGAAGTTGATGGTAGTGCTGCTTCTTTATATTCTAAATGTTGGCTTTGGTATCAACATTTCGAACACGATGAATTGCAAGGCCTATCGAAGGGATAGCTATCTCAAACTCTCAAACTCTCAAACAACTTTCGAACAAGTTGGCAGTTGATGTATCAACTGTTTATTGACGTTTACCTGCAATGACAAGAATCCAAAAAGGGAGAAAATGGCTATGATATGAATTGAGTGAGAACGCACTTCGAATAGGAAGTTCTGAGCTAAATCGTTCAAAGGACATGCCCGTACAAAATAACTTGAGACCACATGTATTTTCAAAAATGATAAGGAATTATTTGTTTACTCGGTGCTTAAAAATCACAACAGATCGAACTAGAAGAATTTGCAATTACATTCTATGGTTTCCCCTGTAGCATCTATATAAAAATGGAAAAATCAGTCACGCTTATCTTACAATTATTATAAGAATTTCTTGCTCTATTTTAAAGATTTTTGCAAGTTTTGAGGTATTAAGGAGGATCATTTAGGATGATTAAATTGACTTAATTATTACTAGTTTATTCCTGCATACGTCAGTAGTCTTCGTAACTTAGTTTATGCGAAAATTGGCAGCGCTTTCAAGGCGACAGGATCGCTCTATTACGGCGATACTCGCGAATTTCTATTTAATTCTTTTTTTTCTTTTTGGTTGCCAGCGCTCTTTCTCTCTTATATTTCTTTCTTCTTCTTCATCTATTTTCTTATTTCTCTTTCCCGTAAGACAGTTTCAGCCGAAGCTTTGCTGGTCTTTTTCCATTTTTTCAATATATCAAAATACCAACCATACCATTAAATTTGCATAAAGTAACTTGTGTCTCTAGACTTTGGCCTTAACAACTGAATGTTGTCCTTTTCGTAAAGTATCATAGTTTTGCAAAAATTTAATAATTATTTGTGCGACTGCGTCGGCATTATTTAAATGTAAGTGATGAGTACCGGGCGGGTAAGTGTGCATCACAAAGTTTTTATTATTTTCCTGTAGATAATCCGTTAGAGCGGTGTTGTCATTGCTTACGATACGTGACTTACCGCCTTTGATTACAAGATGCGGTATGGATACACGGCAAATACGTTTGGCCATTTCATTGATCAACTCTGGAGGCGCATTATATCGACGCTTCACTTTTACACGCGCATCACGCGAAAAATAGTATTTATCAGGGTGTGATGTTGATCTGGTTACGTTGCGTTCTAAAATGTATTTACAATTTTCTAAATTTATGGATCGATCGGTGGACTCATGCAGCAAATGTTCGCATTCTTCCATAGTATAACAAGGTGGTTCCATTGCAACACATTTATCAGTTAAACGTTCATTGAACTCCATGTTCTTCCCAATAAGATATTCCAATACAGTCGGCATATCTTCTACAGAGTAAGTGCGAAATGTTATAATATCAAGACCTATTATCAAATCCACGTGTTCCGGATAGATGGCTGCAAAATCAAATGCTATTGCACCGCCCATTGAATGGCCCATTAAACTAACGGTTTTCCAATTATAAGCTCTCATTACGCGTAGTATCGTGCGTACATATTCAAGAGCCTCATATTGTATACCGATGGGTAAGTGACTCGAAAGCCCATGTCCAGGTAAATCAATACATAAAATACTGCGATATGACGTCAAGAGCGGAGCTAATTTAGCAAACGTACCGCAATTATCCAACCAACCATGTAAGGCTAAAATAGGACGTTGAAGTTGATCTCCATACCATTGACCGGCTATATGGCCCCAAGGTACTTCAATTCGAATCTCGCTGCACTGCAAATTCAATAAAAATATTTTAATTTTGTTTATTTTTTTTAGAAACTAAACACAAGTTACGTTCACGGCTGTTTTAGTAGCCATTTCTTCCTTCTCTCTTATAATTTATATAAATATTTTTTTAAATCCGATACGCTTATCCAGGCTTTTATTCAATATCATACTAAAAGTTTTTTATACCTCACACATTAATATATTATTATATTGCAGGGCAAATGTTGTGCTTAATCGACTATGAACACAGAGAGAGGTCTCATTAAATTTTTGCCTGTTGTTTTTGACTCTTTCTGGTTTGCCTTGGCTCTCATGCATAGGCACATTCCGTAAATGCGTTCAAAGTCTACGTACGATTTCTGATGCTCTTTGTTCGTAGCGAATCTATATAGAGATATGGCGTCTGTGCAAAAATCTATGCGAGGTAAATATCATAAACACCTCGTTTTCAAATTAGTTATTAGTTTACATTGAGCCAGTTGTCATATATCTATGACATAATATAATTTACGAGTACCACAAATACAAAATCTAATAAATTATATCCGCTGATATGTAGAAAATATTAGGGTGAGTCATAAATAACTACCGATGCAGATAGGTATAATCGTTTGCTTGTATTTACCCGAGTTTTTGTTTTCACTATATAGGCGAGAGTTCAATTACTCTTCTGCTAACTGCATGTTCCATTCAACTGCTTTTCTTAACCTCTGAAATGGAGAGTCAAAAAGTGGGTATTCGCCTCGCAATGCTTTGTGAACTTAAACAAGGCAATAGCGCTAAGGCGGCAGCTAAAAAAATATGCAGCTTACAGGGTGAAGGAACGATAGCTGATCGGGCAGTTAGAACTTGTTTGTTTGTAAAATTCAAAGGTATGACCTAAAAAAGTGGGTCGTCCTTCTGACTTTGACGACAATCTCTTAAAGGCAGTTGGGCATTGGAGCAAAATTCAAGCCAATCAACAAGAGGTAGAGCAACAACGGCGAATACCTCGCAATCTGTCGTTAAATTGACATAATATTGAAGTAAATGTCTGATAAAAAAACGGAAGTTACTTATGACTTGACCTAATTAAAAAACAGAAACTCGTCAGTGTAATAATAAATTTGATAAAATGTGAATGTTAAATCTTATGATCTCTTATTGTACAGAATATTTTGTTCGTTACTGACTGCAAAAAATTAAAACGAAACGTCACGAATTGATATGGGCATGCACTGTCATTGCCAACTGCTGGAAAATAAAGAGAAAATTTGATTAGTTTTGTGGCAAATTTTAAGGTAAAATCTCTTAAACAAGACGTGAACTATAGATCTCACCGTACTTGTCGTTTATAATGTTTGCACCATTTTCAGGTCACTGTTTGTTGTGAACTACACGACGTTCTTATACGCTAGTCACTTCCATTTTCATAGTTGGCTTGTGGCCATCAATTAGAATTGAATACGCCCACTATTAGATCTTCGTTTAATAACAAGAAGTATTTGAACAATACACACTTGGACGGACGAACTTTATCTTAATTATGAATACATTTAGTTTCTTGAGTCTGTATATTCATATTTTTAGTTGTGGCGAAACGAAGGAAAAACCTATTATGCCGCATAATCTTGGGAGCATTTAATTAATTATTCGTGAACGAATTTAGTTTACGGTATAAGGCATTCAGATGTTGTCGTAGAAAGGAGTAAGTTTGTAAGGCGAGAGGTAATTGTAAAGAGGAATAAATAAAACTTTGGCTCTTTTCTTTTGCTAGCGCCATAAGGTGATGCGAACAATTCAACTGAATATATTCTCTTTGGTTAAATGACAAGCGATTGATAACACAGTCGCTCTCTCTCTCTCTCTCTCTCTCTCTCTCTCTCTCTCTCTCTCTGTACCCAAACAATCTATATATATATATATATATAATAAATTTATACATGTATGTGTTTCTATTTATTTTACGGATTAGGTCTTTTACGCTTTTTATTACTACTATCATTAATGGGTTACTAATAACACTAACAGTGAAACTTTCCAATATCTACTTTGTGTTAAAAGAGGATTACTAAAAAAAAACTATAAGAACTGTAAACAAGTGAGGAAACTATATTCGGTCGTAACGTATCTTTTATACCCATCACTTTCATACTTGATTGCATTAGTTTGTTTTTATTTATTGTTAGAATAGCAGTTTGCGTCATTTCCAAATTCTTTTGCAAGTTTGTGAGCGATATCTTCATTTTTGCGGACGAGAGAATGCTTATCATAGATATTACACAGTTGCACAGACGGAGAAATGAATGGACGGGCATGCTTAGCTCCATTCCGAATTTGAAACTGGCCAAGCACTTTTATACTTTATGGAGAGTTTGAACCTTGCTTTTGTGCGTTATGAAAGTTTTGAAAAAAAAAAAAAAAAAATTTATGACAAACTATAAAATTGAGACGGCGCATCCGATTTTTTCCATTTTTGTGGAGGTTCTAGAACGTCACCCATAGTGTTCGAATTTTTGCAGATTTATCGGTTATATATTATGAGTAAGAACGAAAGACCAATTTTTGATTCTTTTTGAAAAACACAGGTGTCCTCGCTTTACGTAGCACTGTAAGTCTGCCCTTCGACCCGCTGCATGCAAGAACTTCGAATGTTTGCGACAAATTTGAAGCTGATAGCTTCATTTTTGCGGCCGGGAGAATATTTAGCTTAAATCTGTTCAGAATTTAGTGCTGATTAAGAACTTTGAAGTCTCGAAAGCTTCCTTTTGGGCTCTGCGAATGTTTCGTCAAAATGAATATACCTCTCATCATCAAGAAATACATCATCAAGAAGTGCTCGCATAATCTGCTATTTATAATGAAACACAAACGACGAGCGGGTGAGTACGTTTACAATACTTGCGTTGAGTGACAATAAGTAAAATATTAATAGTCTGCACACATAATGCAGTGTTAAAGAGAAGGTGCAAAGATGCCCTCAGGGAAAATTGCAATATTATATATTGTCGAAAAGCGCCCAGAATTTTTAAAAAATCGGGGCATAGATTATGCTTGGCGTTAGTTAGGATTCATTTTCGAGTTTTTTTATTATATATGTGAACGAAATGTGCGAGAAACGCTTCCCCAAATATGTCAAGTCAGGCGTAAGCAAAATAGCTTACACTTATCGTTAGTATTGGTTGTTCTGAGTCGCCATTGATTGTGCTGAGTTGATATTGGTTATTCTGAGTGAGTATTGCTTGTCTACATGTAACAATATATATATGTATATATTGGTTGATGTTGACAAATGTACAAAATCATTTATTTACACATTTTCAGGTAACGTGACCGTCTTGCAGAGCCTTTATACGTCTTGCAAGATTGTTTTTCCGCCAACCTCGATCTTTCTCTATAGTCCAATAACGTAATATGAGCTCAACATTACCTAATTATTTAATAACAACATTTTATTTACCTTTTTTTTTTGCGTTTTGTTTAGTAAAAAAACAGTGATTACTTTTTATTATTTGTTGGTCCTTGACATTTTATCAATGATAACGGCAGTATGTGACTATACCCATTTGATCGCAAGCTTTGGCGAATTAAGAGAGAGTTAGACAAATTGAGCAAAACAAAAAATTTACAGCTGTCAAAAATAGTCGGCTCTTTGTAACCAAACAACTTTATTTGGAATTTATTTTATATTCAATTTGCAGCTGTAGTAACTTGGAACAACCACGTAAGAGAGAGTGTATTCGAAAGTTGTTGTACGTGTGTGAAGCCAAAAGAACTATAGTTATCAAACAGTACTGAATGCTATCACCTAGACGTCACTAAGTGTTTTACGTGGGTACGCTGCCGTAAAAGCTTAAGCCCATGGTGTCTAATGGCACAGGGACTGTAAAAACGCATACTCAGAGCCCCAGAGATGATTAGCCCCGGAGGTACACGTATAGACGTATCATTTTTTACGTATAGTGGACGGTTGGTACAACACTTCGTGAACGCTCGTGCTTGCTCTTTTCTTCATTTCCCTCTTCTAAACTATCATCATACTTCTACATGTACCGAGGACATGTAAGAATTCGCCTATGGCCCAATCTTTTCTACAGCAATGTTACTGGTCATAAATCTTTCTACTGAAAGATGTTTTATTGAAAGAAACATAAAAAGAATCAAATTTCGATTTCCTGCAATAATGAGCGCTCGGGACCGATTTTTCACATTTTGGCAGACATCCTGTAGAACATGGGTTAGAATGCTCGTCGCCATATCTGCTGTAATTTATGAGTAATAAGAGAAAAAAAAAGGTAAATTTCAACCTTTAAACAGGGCGACCTAAGATACTCCAAGGCCGTGGGAGAAAATCATTTTGTAAGAGTATTTTCAATTGGAAAAAAGAATGTTCTCATTTGTATGAGTTATGTATGAAAATGATGTAACAATCTGTAGCGAATGCTGACTATGCTTTGTAAGTGGAACTGATCTATATACGCCATTTAAACAATTACAGTATAATGATGAATATGAAACAATTTTGCGTCGGTGGTTTTATTGATTTATTATCCTTTATTAGAAAAAAAAAAAAATAAAAAATAAAAAATACCAAATGAAAAGGAAAATACAAATTCAATCAACAAAAAGAAATGAGAAGTGAAAAACAAACACAATATATAAAGTATCCTTTGAATTATTGCTTTCATCATATTCATCAGGCTCAGCATCAGCAGCACCATCAGCACCAGCATCGTCATCATTATCGTGATTATATGAAACTTTTATTGTCTATCAGAGAAGTGTGATAAAAACTAGTGCATACATACAAAGTTACCTTATGCATCATGAATACTAAACATGCACACGCCTGCCCAGTCATTTATTCGTTGATGTGCAAACATTTGTTTTAAGAATGTTACAGAAAAACTATGATACATAGTTGGGGCTCGAGTCGGCTTAGTGTAAAAGTATATAATTTTTTATGTGTTTTTAGTTTACATTGAAATAGAAAAGCATGAAAAAATTTACGTAAAATAAAAAACTTGCTTTGCTTTATACTCTTCATATGTACTCTATAGTACATCCACTCTGAGGAGGTTACTTATGTCATATATATATATATATATATATATATATATATATAACCACTTGGCAAGAAAGCACTTTCGATTATTTAGCGTAAACACTAATCAATTACGTATTTC